CATCGCCAGAAAAGTCGAACCGAAATGGGCAGGGCTTAATTTCGAGGCCTTGAAGCATAAATAATTAGCTATCAATCATTCACCTAATTTCCTGAACTATGATTGGTTCGCCCGCTGATCAACAAATTCACTCTTGAGTTAAAATGGCGGCCCATGTGAGAAGTTCGAAAGTAAGGGAGAGAGGGTTTTACGCTTCCCTCAACAAAGTATCGACCGCGGATATGCTTCCTGTTGCTAGAGGACGAAAGATCAAAGGACGAGGGCGTCTGTGGAAGGTTGAAAGACTTATTGCTAAGAAAACAAGCGGTACGGTAAGTTGAATTCTTTGCAATTGAAATTTAGCTTAAATGCTTACGTAATCTATTTACTGTTACCTGTCGTGCCTTACCTGCCGCTCACATTTATATGGAGAAAGAGATCATGGAAATAATCAAATAAGGAGGAATAATAGCCGTTTAACTGATCGGAATTTGCTGACTTTTATTGGCAAACAGGAGTCTACAGAATACTTGGTGTTGTGGAAGGGGTATTCTCCCTTCGAATCTACTTGGGAACCCGAGGAGCACATTTCTCTCGATTGTGTCCGGTACTGCAAACTCTTTATATTTTCTCGCTTCAGTTGTTTATGAAGTGTTTTATTGGTGGGATTTCTGCTGTATATAAGCTAAAGAACGCCTGGTCGGAATCTAAATTTTTGAAGTGCGTGGATCCAAGTTTGTGTGAAAGTCGTTTTATTTTAGCCTTTTCACTACCTTTGGTCATGTACAATATTCGGTATTTTTTCCTCCTCAACGATGATAATACAAGTATTAAAAATGCCTTTGGAAATCACTGATAACATTAAAATTTAAGGAATACTTAATTTGACCGTGCTACCTTGACAATATCAACCTTTCATTTTCTGGTACTTTGAGAGTCCAGTCATTGAGGATTCAGTTGTGTTTGGTGAAGTTGCTCTGCTCAGAGTTGCTGTGGAACAACAGCTCAAATCGAAATCTAGGTTGCCATGCACAATATCTTTTAGAGGAGATGTGTACAGGTTACTTCTTCAGAGCAGAGGAACCTTCCAAGATGGGTGGCATCTCCTTCAGGAAACAGATTTTCCTGCAAGGTATTTCCCGAAATTTTGGGATCACCTTGCAGACTCGCATGGTCAGGGGATAAAAGTTAGGTACCCCATGAAGGTGAGACATTTTATCTCCTGGTCACCTAAGAAATATAGCGTTGAAGGAGATCACCACCCATCACCAAGAGCTTTCCAGGAGAAATTTACCTTTTCATTTGTAAAGGTTGCTCTTGGTGATAACTCTTAATAATTATGTACAGCTGTGACACCTACTATTGACATTGTAAACAGTCTTCTTCCATTACAAAATTATGGATGTGCTTTGTGGTATTTAAATTTTTAATCGTAATATTTTTTTCAATAAACTTCTGGAACAAAATCAAATCAGCGTCATGGAATCTTCTTGTGTTACATTTTACATTTCATATAGTAGTAACTACATATTACTTTTTTACTTGTTTGCTTTTCAAATCAGATTTTGATTTATTAGTGGACCTTTTCCTTTTTCTAGTTCTTGGTGTAAGATTAGTGGGAGGTCCCAGTGTTACAGGCACATTTTCTGTCACCTCATTGCTGAGGGGTTTCTCAAAGCTAAGACGTTTACTATTGCGTCGCTTTTCTTTGATAGTATTCTCCCAGTACTCAGTGGCCTTCTTTAAGTATTTACGAGACTTCCTTCCCCTATGCTTTAGCAACCGAATGCGGTGCTCAGCTCGCAAGATGTCAGCAGGGTCATCTGTGTGATTGGTTTTTCTTTGAATGATTCTCCTAGCATCGTCATTATTTTTCTCTACTCCTAAAATGCAAGAAGTAATGCATAAGCGTGATTTTGTTAAGTTTGGGCATGATATATGATCAGTAATACCTTTTAATTACTTAAAATGGAAAGGTAGTCACTGTTACAGCAATTTTAAAATTTTAGCCTTTAATTCCAGCTACTGTTGTTACTTGCTCAATGCCAGCATGAAATACCTTGACCACTGAACTGCTTCAGGTTTTCATATTTCTTCACCATATTGGGAATGTGATATGCAGCAGAATGCAGGTAGCAAGTGACTCGTTCTCTTGTGTAACCAACTCTCTTGTGCCCCAAGTTAGCAAAGGTGTCAATCCAGGTCTTGATCTGTTAGTTTAAAATTGAGATTGATCTTATGTTTTGCTCTAACATGCTTAGAGAATGAAGATGTCTCTACAGTTTTGTTTACTTTCTCCAAGACTCGGTGCAACTCACCTTTTGGTGATACTCATCAATGTCTGTAGGTTCAAATGATGAAATGAACTTGAAGTACATTTCAGCAAATCCCTGAAATGAACCAGAAATCAAACAGGAATTACCGGTACATGCCAAATGGTCATTAGTGATTCCATACAGATTTGATTTTTATTTGGAGAAGTTTCTTAATTTTTTTTTGGTCAAGTGTTAGGATATACATTGCCAGGTACAAAAATCCTATATATAGCTATTTGGGTTGAAAGAGTATTAGTGTAAGTGTACAAAGTCATCAATAAATAAGTGTTGTACTAGTTGTATGCACTCATGTAATATTACCTTCCACAACTCCACAACAGTTCTTGCTGTATCCTGCTGGATCAGTGATTCCATCTTTCCTGGAAGCTCCTTTAAGAGAATTTTCCTATCATCTCCCATAAGGCTGGTCCAATCCCAAGTTCCTGATCCCTTCCCATCTGCATTTCTCTTCTCCCAAACAGAGAAGGAAACCCCACAACTCCTAATACCCTGGATTAAATTATCCAGGTGTTTCTGTTCTGAGCTTGTGGATTTCTTCTCTGACAAAAAGTTATCTTTTTCATCCCATTGCATTACATCTTCAATAAGGTTGCTTATCAGCACATCAGTAACACGGAGCATTAGATGGAGCTCATCTAGAATGATGTGATCTAGTGGGATGTTAAGTAAAGGCTGGTGGACACAGCAATAGTTCTCTCCTTTAGACTTGGTGGCAAATTGTTTTATTTCTTGCAAAGTTCTTCGAATAGGATCCTTATCATAGAAATTATCAGGCTTGCTCATATCACCTCTGAAAGTAAAATGTATGACATATTTCTGACAATTGTTTTCTGCCTATTACAATCAGTTAACACACCATCTGCTTGAGAACTGAACATCTTACCTGTCTTTCTTGTGAACTTTGCACCATAAGCAGGCATAAGTTGAATTTGCTGCACTTATGCCCATAACCAGCAAAAGGAACTACCGTATGTAGAAAGGATCAATGTTATCCATGTATCAATATTTAAAATAGACATAATCAAGTACCATAGTGCTTCATTGTTTTCTTAAAGTGTGTATATGGCCATTTTCCTTTGAAATCTATAGGAATACAACAAAGTTTATTTGTTTGACAGTGAGTCTAACTTGAATTTTGTTTTGTGCCCTGTTACCTTGTAATCACCACCAAGAAACAGCTCAATCTCAACTTGCTTGCCATCAACAATTATGTGGCCCCTGTCTTGAATTTCATTGACTTCACTGAACACCTCTTTGAAGCTTTCAGCCAAAGTTTCATGATTTTCAGGGCCACTGACAACAGCAATAGTGTGTGTACCTTGTTCAAGATATTACAGAAAAAATCTGAGTTAACCATCGTTCCTTTTATAGTGCTTGTACTTCATGTAATTACCTTTTGATGAAAGCAGGTCCTCTTTGCTCTGAAGGATTGACAGAGTGCAAAGTATGAAGTTACTGACTCTGCTCAAACGTGCCCCATCACCACTAAGTTTCACTTTAACTTTTTCACCTTCTTGAAGCACATTGTTTTTTATCTGCAACATTGGAGAACGCATGATATGTTATGTAATAATTATAATTGTAAAGTATTGTGTGGGTAGTGATACTTATGGATGCTATCTCAGTCTTGTGTGTTGTAAAAAGTGACAACATTTGTACCTACCATGTTTTGAATTTGATCAGCCAATAGCTTTGTAAAAGAGTGCTGGGCCGCTGGGGCCTTGCCTGGGGTGGACTTGATGTAACAACTCTCATTCAATGCATTCCTACATTGTTTAAAGAGATATGACTTGGGTAATCCTTCAACAGTCATTGACAGCTCATGAATGAATTCATCTCCAACCCCAAATTTGTCAATGAGGTAGAGTATACTCTCAACTCTGGCTTTGTCATCCTCACTGAGTCTGGAATATTGTGTTTCTTTTTGATTGGATGCCTGATCTGTGGATTGTGATTGCGAGCCATCTATTGAGGTGGGCAATGGAAGACTAGTGGGAGACGATAGGTTTATAGCGTATGTTTTTAGCCCCTCTGGATCCTTTAACTTCAAAAGGTCCAATTCTAGTCCAAACAAAGAACAAAAAAGTAGAGCTTTCTGTGCTCTAGTTTTCAGTTCTTTGATCTTCCTGTTCCTGGCTTGAGATGTCTTAATATCTGGAATTGGTGTGCCCCTCACCTTTTTAAATTGGTCATTTTCCAACTGTCTAACATACTTCTTCATTAACTCACTTTCCTCTTTGCATGAAAGATTCAGATTTTTCTCACTCAGCATTTCCTCAAATAACTTTTCCTTTTCCTTCTCTAGATCATGAAATTTTTCCCTCCAGTGGTTTATTTCTTCCTTTGCAAGACCCAGCTTTTCTTCAAGATTAAAAATCTTTGTTCTCCATTCATCGACTCTTATGACTTCACCAGCTAAAACACTTATCTTTTTGTAGGAGGCAAGGAATGCTTTCCTCTGTTTTGGACTGCCCTTCTTATTTAAGAGCTTTCTCTTAGCCTCTGCCAAGTTTCCAAGCTCATACAGTCTCGATTCCAACCTCTCACTGCTTGGATTTAATCTAAACGCGTTACCTGGTATGTTAAGATTTACCATGTTGATGAACCGGCCGACACCAGTTTGTACGTTGAGGAGCTTCTTCCACGAAGCAAGAGCATCG